CAGCGAGCGAGATTGCAAGCTTGCGACACCACAGACAGAGACCCACTAACAGAGACACACCCACACACAGAGATAAGGTCCATATGGCATGGATCTGGTGATGAGGTGCCTGGACAGGATGGAGAGCTGCTCTCCTTCATTGAAGGATTAACAACAAGAGGGCATCATTTTCAGGTGAAGAGCAGGAGGCTCGAGGGGAGTTGAGGAAATCTTTTTCACCCAGAGTGTGGTGGGATTGTGGAATACACATATGAGAGAGCAGTAGGGGTGGGAAAACCCAACTTTTAAAAAAGAATTTGATGAGCACTTGAAATGTCATTACAGCGCTAAATGAATGTTAAGTGGGATCAGTGCAGATAGGTCAGTACAGTCTCAAAGGGCCAAAGGGTCTCTTTTGCATTGTATGACTCTATGATATGGCAGACCTGGCTAATGGTTGCTGGATAACCCGAACTTTGAACTTGTGCCTCATCAGGTCTCGATGTAATTCTTCAAAGTGTTTGAATTTCTTTTTCACCATCCACGTGAAGTCTCCATGCGTTATCCTCATCATATAGACTGTACTTGGCCGAACCTTGGGTGGTGGGGAGGGAAGACACAAACCATGTGGTGTTAGGTTTGACTGCACAAAACTTGTCAGAAATTTGATGTTAAAAAGCCTGACTGCATACTCCAAGACAAATGAAGTAACTAAGAATGCATTATTCCTACTCCGCATCACATTAGCACAGCTATCCTCACTACCGAAGACAGCTTAATCTTTGTCTGGACTCTGTCACGACTCTGGGCTATAAGTAACCTCTCCACCACAATTCTGATTTTGTTTACGGGATGTGAATGTCATTTTGTTGTCATTCCTAATTGCCCCTTGAGAAGGTGGTGATGGGCTGCCTTTTGGAGCCACTCTAGTCCATGTGGTGTAGGCAGACCCACCACGGTGTTAGGGAGGAAATTCCAGGATTTTGTTCCAAAGACACTGAAGGAGCAAGTGATATATTTCCATGTCATTGAGTGGCTTGGCAGGAAGTAAGTTCCCATGCATCTGCTGGCCTTGTCCTTCTAGATGGACGAGATTCTGGGATTTGGAAGGTGCTACCTAAGGACCATTGGTGAATTTCTGCAGTGCACGCTGTAGATGGTACACACTGCTGCGACTGAGTGTCGGTGATGGAGGGAGTGGATGCTTGTTGATGTGGTGCCAATCAAGCCAGACGTTTTGCCCTGGATGGTATTGAGTTTCCCGAGTGTTGTTGGAACTGCATTCATCCAGCCAAGTGAAGTGTGTTCCAACGTAACCTTATTCAAACCAGACAGCACAGAGGGAGGCCTTTTGGCCCAACTCACTTGTACTGGCTCTTTGAAAGTGTTATCCGATTCATGCGGCTTTTTGCCAATAGCCAATAACTCCTCTTTTTGAAACTAATTCTGTTTCTTAAACAAGCATTCTTCGGCAAACTACCTCTTGCTCGAACTCTCACCATCCTCAGAGCTCACTTGACATAACAGCCAGTGATTCATGCAGGACATGTTCCATCTACTATTAAGCTCGGAGCATTCTCGGGACATTAAAGGGAGGGTCTTCATGGAGAGGCAGAACATTCCTACCTTAAACCCTCGCAGATGGCGTTCGATACCTTCGATGTGGACCGTCACTGGCACACCCTTCATAAACACTTGTCGTTTCCGCTCCTTAAAGGGTTTGATATTGTAGACCAGGAAATAACGATTGGGGAGCTCATCTGAAAAGTACATTTACAACACCGACACCTTACATTTACGTAGCACCTTTCAAAAAGGTAGGACAAACATCCTGAGGAGATACTAATACAGGCAGCCTCAAGCTTGGTCAGAAACAGAGGTTTTACGGGATGCTCTTATAACCCTTGCACAAGACGCAAGAGCAGAAGTCGACTATTTGGCCCTTTGAGTCTGCTTCGTCATTCGATCGATCACACTTGCGGTGTCTGTAGGTGTTTTTGGTGACTTACCTATGCTCTCTTCCCATTCGATGTGATCCACTTCATCCTCGTACATCGGGAGGTCATCCAGATGAGGATGGGACTCAGAGTCCAAGCTCAACACTGGCTCAAAATCGTGAGCCATTCTCCACACCTAACGCACACAGTTCATTGAAGGGACTGAAAAAAAAAGAGACAAAAAAAAAAAAGGTCACCCAGGGACAGGAAAAAAGAAAGACACATTCACCAGCTTCAGGAATCTGTATTGCCTGTCGAATGGAAGACTCTGTATTTGTGTAGCACCCTTCCAACCCCACAACCACTTCCATCTAGAAGGACAAAGGCAGCAGATACATGGGAACACCATCTCCTGCAAGTTCCCCTTCAAGCCACTCACCATCCTGACTTGGAAATATATCCCTGTTCCTTCATTGTCACTGGGTCAAAATCCTGGAATTCCCTCCCTAATGGCATTGTGCGTCAACCCACAGCAGGTGGAATGCATTGGTTCAAGACGACAACTCACTACCACCTTCTCAAATGCAATTATGGAAAGGCAATGAAAACCAGTGACACCCACATCCCACAAATGAATAATTAAAAAAAAGCTATCTGAGCACAGCAAGATTCCGTACAATGTTACTTATGCACAAGATAATTTTTTGTTCTTCAAAAAAGAATATTGGCTCCAGTGCACCATTCCACTGCTTTTCTGTCACATTAATTGCAAACAGGCAAATTCAAAACAGTAGAAGGCCATTCAGCACCCCCAGCCTGCATAATTTCTCTACTTTTATACAAAAACAGAAAGTGCTGGAGAAACTCAGCAGGTTTAGCAGCATCTGTGAAGAATTAGAATTAACATTTTGAGTCCAGAGAACCTCTCTCAGTTGTTTTTGTTTCAGATCTCCGGCACATGCAGTTTGTTTTGTCCTTACTTTTGTGTTCAATTTCACTTGCAATAATTCTTTAACATTCTGTTAACATTCTTTGATACTTGCTGTACCCGCAAAGTAAGGTTTTGTACCTCATGCACCAGAATAAAGATCCCTCTGCACCTCAAACTCTGCAATCATATTCTGTTTAAGTCAAACTTCTTCCTGCCAAAGTGAAGAACTTCCCATATGGTACTTTGTCTGCCAGATTTTTGCCCACTGACTTGCCCTATCTGTAATCAGTCTGCGAGCACCTTATGTCCTTCCTACAACACACTTTCTTAGCTATCTTGGTGTCATCTGAAAATTTAGCCATCATCCCTTTGCTCCCTTCATCTAAGTCAATAACAAAAATTGACCCCAGTACAGACCTCTCTAGAACTTTGCTGATCACATCCTGCCAAAGCCCTGCTTCTGTATACTGTGCTTTCTGCAGCCAGCCAATCCTCTATCTGTGCTGGATATGTTACCCACTATACCATAAGCTTTTATTTTCCACAATAGTGTGACACCTTATCAAATGCTTTCTGGAAATCCAAATACATTACATCCTTTATCCACAGTGCTCATCACTGCTTCAAAGAAAACTCCAATTGGTTAACCATTAAATCCTTTTTACTAACCATGCTGACTTTCCTTGATTACATTTAATTGTTCAGAGTGCCCAAGTATAGCTGATAATCTTTGGCAGCCAGATATTGAGGGATGAGTTAGTCTGCTTTCCTTAACTGTTTTTTTGTGCTTTGTAATTTAACACAAACTCCAGTCTGCTTGTTGTCCTTCCTGACCTACTGGCAAAGAACAGCCCTTTTCCATTTCCTTATTTAATAAACTACCAAGTCTCTACCAGGGATAGTGCAACAACAACTGGGGCGGTAGGAAGAGAGTGTGGGAACTAATTTAAGATGGAGTTTAGGAGGGCGGCAAAATAAGGCATTATAGCCCTCATGGGTCCACCTCTCTGTGAAAGACTAGACAGTCTTGGTAGACACTGCATGCTCCTTCTCGAAAGACATCTTGGAGAAAATCAGCCCTGTTTTTATATCCAGAAGTGTTTTCACATACAACTGAATGGTTTCTTTTCCATCACCAATCACCCATGTTACTTTTCATCTTTGTTTCCAATTTTCAATGTTTCCAATTAACACACAACTGAACAATTCTTTTCTATCACCAAATTGCCTATGGTACTTTTTCACCCATTAACCGCCATCAGTCTTTCCTTTTTAACCTATTTCTCTAATTAACCTCTTCAGAGACGTCATTACACACCTCTGGAGCAGGTGGAACTTGAATCCAGGTCTCTCTGTCCAAGGGTAGGGACACTACCACTGTGCGACAAGAGGGCCAAAACGATCACAGCAATCTTTTGATAGCATCCAACAAACACTGAAGTCAGACGTCTTACCAACTAGGCCAAGTGACCAAATCATTAACCACCACAAGTAAATCACCCATGCTTTGATTGATTGATTCTAAATTGATTAATTTATGTGCAAAGCCCAATAAGGGCCAGAAAATCCTCCTGTACCCGGAAGAATTAAATACACGGAACTGCATGCTTTCCTACCACCAAAATCACCATGACTTTTGTTTTTGCCCTTTTTCAAAAAAAAAAAAACACCTAGTAACTACCACTAGTTAAAACATCTGTGTATCCAAATGAGTATTTACAAGCAAAGCTCATTATGGGCAATGCAAACCATCAAAGGTGAGGGGGGTGGAATAGGGAGAGCAGGAAGGGACTAAATTAAAATGGAGTTGGAGTGGGAAATAAAGCACTGTATTCCCCCATGGTGCCCATCTCTCTCTAAAGGCATTGACAACATTGATGGACAGCCAGGCACAAATGTAACTTTGGAAGAGGGGCAGGCAGTCGGCAGAGATGATCCCCTCCACAGCCCACTGCATGAACTGTTTATAACCAAAGTGGCCAGGGCCATGAGCAGACCCATGAGGAGATCCCCTTATTCGCCCATACTCTTCCACATCAGCTAGCCAAAAATCAGGGACACGAGGCTGAATTGCAACCAAAAATACAACAAAAGAGTTTTCAAATAATTAAAAAGGGAGTGCAAATGCCGATAACGAACATAAACATGGTCCACAAATGCCATGTTGCTGCAAAATAAACAACTGGGCTGGGAGTCCGCAATCTACAGTTACAAGGGACCCCTGTGTGCAATACCATAGAATCACAGAATCCCTACAGTGTGGAAATAGGCCCTTCGGCCCAACAAGTCCACACCAACCCTTAGAGCATCCCACCCAGACACATCCCCCTATAACCCACCTAATTTACACATCCCTGGACACTATGGGCAATTTAGCATGGCCAACCCACCTAGCCTGTGCATCTTTGGACTGTGGGAGAAACTGGAGTACCTGGAGGAAATCCATGCAGACCTGGGGGGAAATGTGCAAACTCCACACAGACAGTTGCCCGAGGGTGGAATTGAACCCAGGTCCCTGGAGCTGTGAGGCAGCAGTGCTAACCACTGAGCCACCATGCCACCCTCCACCTCAGGTCCCTAATGGAAAGAGGGAGGACACCCACATAGAGCCCTCCACCAGGGATCCCTGCCACCTGGCAGTAAATAACCACACCAAGGTGTGTCCTGGCAGTGGGCACAGGACTCAAGGTGGATAGTGTGCAACAGCAGCCTATACACAAAAAAACACAGAGTCAGAAAGACACGACATAAACCTAAGAGATAGCTCAGGTTGTGGGGCACATGCTCCTGAGGGAGGTTCAGGAAATGTGAAATTCCGTCCGAGCAGTGGCACCTGCTGACGGGATTCCTCCAACCTGTGCAGAACGTTGGGTCTAAGCACTACTTTTCAGGTGGTCGATGTCATTGGCTGCAAGCTGATTGCCCACCAATGCCCCGAAGAAAATCATCCCTTTCTACTATTACTACTGCACTCACTCAGGTGAGTGTCTCGCTGTGCTTACCTGTCAAACTGGGCCTTAAAATCTATTCTAGCAGACTGAACAGGCATATTCCACTTCTCCTTTTAGATTTAAAGACCAGTGATATAAAGGTCCTGGTCATTCGAGTGACTGTCACCTTGAGATTTCACTTTGAGATTTCTGTCTGCAAACCCTTCCCTTCTAATATCCTGAACCAACGTTTCCAGACTACGTTGGCCTCCCCGAATTCACTTCCTGTGCCATCAGTTATAACAGATGAACAGTTTCTTCCTGCTCCCTCCCTCCCAGGATGAAAACAAAGAAATGGAAAGGGGAGATATTGTCTTGCTCCCAGATGTTGTACAGAAGTAGTTTAATTCTGAAGCTCACTGGACAAACTGGATGACTGGATGACTGAATGAACCCCTGCCCACACACACAGAAGGTGAATGGCTTTTCCCCAGCGTTGGCCCACTGGTACGGAGGAGAAAGACATGTCCTCAGTTTAATATCTCAACTGAGAGGTGGAGCCTCTGACAGTGGACAGGGGATGGGGTACAAGCCTTGAATTAAGAATGAACCCACAACTTTCTGACTCAGAGATGGGTATGTAGGAACAAAAGTAGGCCACTTAGCCCCCTACAGCCTGTTCTGCCATTCAATGAGCTCTGCGGCCAAACTCCACATAACTGCCTTTGGCCCATATCCCTTTATACCTTAGATTTTTGTTAAACAATCTCAGATTTAAAATTAACGATTGATCAGAGTACAGCCTAAGACTCAGCTGACACCTAAACTACGAGTTGCTGGGGAAGGCAGAGTTGGATAACTAAACTCTCAAGTGTCTTCACATCCAGGAAAGCTACCAGAACAGATCCATGGATAAGGGAGGATTAAGGTGAGAAAAACTTTCATCAAGCCTGCCTGGAATTTTTCTTTAAACTGAGAGATTAGAGCTTCACAAGTTATTAGACACATTAAATTTCAGTCTAGCTGGGAGTCTAAGAAGCATCCACTGCTTGATAGTTTGAACCCAGCATTGAGTGGCATGGGAAGGGGGTCCTCATATTTATTGACATTTATTCACATTTATTTAAGTAAATTCTTGAAAGAGCAGACAGAGCTCAAAGCAAATTAAGGCATTACTCTCACCTCCGGATTCAGGCACTCAGATCACACCGACCAGTTCAGGGTCATCCCAAACAGCTGTTAAAATTTCAGCATTTTGGAGAAAACTCAACCCAGCATTGTTGTTCTGTACTGCAATTGGACAGTCAGAATAAGACTTTTTACTGCACAGAAAGGAGGTAATTTGGTGCATCAACACTTAA